GGTATTTAGTAAAGGATAAAAGGATTAAATTGTGAAATGCCACAGATGTGCACAAAAATGTCTGATTCTTATACATGGCATGGGATTCAGGATATTTATGTAATACATTTTATTATATTTTAATTAACAAACATCAGTGAATTCTCTCAGTTCCGCCAAAAAACACTCATGCTAAATAGTTTCTAAATTTTGTCCTGAGTTTAGAAATACCTAATTTTAACATGTTCTTAGCTTTTTTTTTGCAAGTTATAGGACTATAAGTTGTTTGTGATTAAGTGGCTACTAAAATAGACAGGTCTCTCAAATTGCAATCAATTGAATTACTTAATTATGTAAAAATATTACATAAATATGCACGTAGAATTTAAATATATATACATATTTATATATTTGAAGTCTACGTGTATATTTATATATATTTTGTATTATTTTTATTTATATATATATATATATATATATATATATAATGTCATTCTAAGTGTATTTTGATATATTTATATATATATATATATATATATATATATATATACACACACACACATATCAAAATACAGTTAAAATAAAATTACATATATATAATTTAAAAACTATATATATATATATATTATTTTAATTATTTTTAAATTTATTTTTATTTACTTATTTATATTTTAGAATATATATATATAATATATACATGTGTGTAATTTAGAGCGATCACATGGCCCACAGGGGCCTAATTTGCTGAGGGGGGACTGTCTGGGCTGTCAGGCAGTCCCCCCAGACCGGGAGAAACACTGATTCCCTGTTCCCCCGCCAGCGATCTGGTAGAAAATAAGGACTGACGCAGACATACTTGGACCGTTTTTTGTCGGACGTACCTAGTACATCCGCTGTCCTTAAGGGGTTAACTAAACCCATTAGATAATAGTCGTGTTGCCTAAAATCTACTGGCCATTTAGTCAACTAAAACTAGACTAAAACTAAAACAATTCAGATTACTAAAATACAACTAAAACTAAAATGGCTTTTTAGTCAAAATACATAGACTAATACTAAATCGAAATTTGCTGCCAAAATTAACACTGAAAAATAACTATAATGATTTATTTCTATGTAAAACTGAAGATACTTAATAGTTAAATTTATGAGTATTGTCAGTGTGAGCTCGTGGGGTGAAAATGTATATTTTTCACATGAGCCCTATGAATTACACCTGAAATTCTTCTGACTATAACATGATTTTTTTCCTTAAATTATCACAGGCATGGCCTTGACGGAAAAGTAATTTCCTACACTGAAAGCAGTCAGTCAGTCAGTAATTTGGTCACCTACATTTTGCAGGTCTTGTTTACACAAATAATGCAAACCAAGTGAAAATTCCCCAAATGTGAACTAATGAACATATAATAAGCAGTTTTTGAATTGTTGTTAAAATTGAGTAGAAATATGTACATTTGCATATATCTTGTCCCTTTTTATTTCCTGGGAATGTTTGTATTACACTTTCAATTTACGACAATGGTCACCAGATGATCGTGAGAGTAGTATGAGATCCACCATTCTTTATTCCACAGCTGCAAGTTGTTTATAATCTTAAAGTGCACAGGAAAAATGCTCAGTATATATCATGCATTACCTACCACAAGGAAATAATGTATTCATTTGTGGTTCTTATATAAGCTGTACAATATACAAATATAAAAGTGACTTCCTTGGTGCTGGTCAAATCCAAGTATGTTAGGCATTAGAGGTTTATAGTAAATATTATTTCAGAAAAAATGACAGTTATACCTTCAAGGGTTACAACTACAGGATCACTGCACTTAAATCACTTCATTGAGAAGAAATGGTCTGGTTGAGTTTAGTGGTCCTTTAAAACAGCATGCAATCACAAATTACTTGCATGTTGCAACTAGATATAAATCAGTCTGCGTAGCTCAGGGACGCAATATAACTTTCAGGTAAAAGATCAATGTGCTCGTGGAAAGGAAATATGCCAAAAGGTCAATAAAGATAACTGAAGCTTATTTACACAGGGAACTAGTGAGAGATGAGCTTTCTGACTCTCTTATGTGCCCTTCAAATCATTGACCAGACAAAGACCATTAGATATTTTTTGGGTTAGAGGTAGGAACAAATGAGAACCCAGCATGAAAATCTCTGTAAGAACTACTCACTTCCACTTTGAACTATAGTTCAAACCAAATAAGACAGGAAACTCTCCTGGTTGTCTCACTGATCGCCAGGAAGTGTGAATAAGGGGACTAGTCTTGGACATTCATTTTAGGATGAACACATATTCCCCTTCCCCATACGGAGGTTAATATGACCATCATATTACTATAGTGGAAAATAAATTCTCTCTCCTGCGCCTTTCCTGCAGTGCCGTTGAAAAGGCAGGAGATGCCGATGGCTGCTCACTTTTATAAAAAAAAAAAAAGACTAGCAACTGGCAGCTATTGCCATCCAGTCCCTAATTCAATAAAAGAAAAAATTAGGTCTGCGCAAACAGTTAAAGTGTGCACACCTAGATGCTACCAGGCTTTTATTGAAGGACAATATTGAAGGACAATAAAAGGGCGCAAGTTCTTAGTCAATGCTAATGTCCTTAATCACAAATATACACTCATCGATATATATACAATAAAAAGGGCTTATAATTACATGTGCCACCCCCCACCAAATTAGTGAATCTGTGCGCCTGAACGCAGTTTCCATCCACCATCTTGGAGCTCCTTTCAAATTCCAGAATTGATAGGCATTGTTTCATGCATAATTTTGGTCTTTCAGCATCTTAGTAGATAGTTCACTAATCTTTATGTGGGATTACTATAAGGATTTAAAAAAGAGCTATCTTCTAAACAGCTCCCTAATTTGGCACCCTGAAATATGGCAAGTACACAAGTGTACCAATTTAGGGAGTTACCTACTAAACGGCCGCAAGACACAGCTGTGGCATGCATAGGAATTTTATTAGTCTGAATGAAATTCCCAAATGAAAATAATGACCAAATTTCATCCAAAAACAAATGGACGATATTCACTTCGGACAAAACAACATTTTCTTTTGTCCAAATGTGTTCCGACAAAACTGAAATTTCGGCGTTGCCCAAGTTTAAAGGGACTATTATGAGATAAGCCTGATGAGAGAACCAATTAACATCTAAAGTACTTTAGCAAGCTGAAGTGTTTTGGGTACGTGGTGTGTTCCTTTAATAATATATCGATTTACAGTAACAATAACAATAGTAGCACCATTTTCTTTTTACAAATTGTTTTAAAAACTTTTGTTTCCATATGTCTATCTGTCTATTACCTTGTAACAAGCCAATATTAAAATTGAGCACTTTTCTTATATTATCTACTTTAAAATCCGGTCTATATAATAATGTAAAAGAAATGAAGTAAAAAGGGAATGTGCCTGGATTTCTTTACATTATTAATGATTCTCTAGGTCTAAATTGGAAATGTGCTTCTCTACCTCAGGGGGATGATTAATTTAGCAGACTACTAGGTTTGATTAAAAGGGAATGAAATCTCTGACATGCAGTCTATTTATCAGATATTATGATATTAAACTGTCTAATCACTTGGTACCTAAATTAAGACTTACGATTCTTAAATGTCACTTTTTCTTTTGTTTTATTTCAGCACCACTTTGGCACAAACATATGGAGTCAATCAAAAGGGCACTTACCATGGGGAAATTATCTTATTATGAAGAACATTTTATGGTCAACCAGTTAATAGGAAATGCAATCACACAAGAACCACATGCTATAAGATCATCACTTAATTGTCTTGGAGTCAATTATGTCAGTTTTAGAATGCAAACTCATTTTTTTCTATCGGAAAACCTTCACTCCATTATGTCATTAATAACCTGTATTAAATACATCCCCAAACTCAGCACAATGATTAATTAAATCTAATTATATTTTTAATTTGTTGATTGTCTTTGTCAATGTACTGATTGTAAGTGTTGTTGAAAAAAAAGTTGCACCTCAGACTCACATTATACTTCTGACTCGCTTTTCCACAGCCCCTTCCATTTTCCAAGTGGGCATTGGCCCCTTTCTGGCATGAATATTGGATAAGGTAGCTAGTGGCAATTCTTAAAGGGACACTATAGTCACCTGAACAACTTTAGCTTAATGAAGCAGTTTTGGTGTATAGAACATGCCCCTGCAGCCTCACTGCTCAATCCTCTGCCATTTAGGAGTTAAATCCCTTTGTTTATGAACCCTAGTCACACCTCCCTGCATGTGACTTGCACAGCCTTCCATAAACACTTCCTGTAAAGAGAGCCCTATTTAGGCTTTCTTTATTGCAAGTTCTGTTTAAGATTTTCTTATCCCCTGCTATGTTAATAGCTTGCTAGACCCTGCAAGAGCCTCCTGTATGTGATTAAAGTTCAATTTAGAGATTGAGATACAATTATTTAAGGTAAATTACATCTGTTTTGAAAGTGAAACCAGTTTTTTTTCATGCAGGCTCTGTCAATCATAGCCAGGGGAGGTGTGGCTAGGGCTGCATAAACAGAAACAAAGTGATTTAACTCCTAAATGACAGTGAATTGAGCAGTGAAATTGCAGGGGAATGATCTATACACTAAAACTGCTTTATTTAGCTAAAGTAATTTAGGTGACTATAGTGTTCCTTTAAGGATGTAGGAAAACAGTGCAGGGTACTCCACTTTGTAGTCGTATATGTTACTACTAATGGACCTGTAATGATGCGCTCTTTTTTTGAATTCTGTTATTATTGTGTCTCTATAATGACCCTTAACATTTTTTACTAAGACAATTATTTTAAGCTGTGTCAATTCAAATATGATTCTTTAAATGTATGTGAGTACAATAGAGAAGGTCATAGATGCCAAGTGTATTTCTGCAGAATAATGTAAAGGTTTATCAAAATGCATAATGTTGCCTGTAGTGATGTCCCACAATGGTTCGCAGAACGGTTCGCCGCAGACGGCGAACATAAACATAAACTTTGACCCTGTACCTCACAGTCAGCAGACACATTCCAGCCAATCAGCAGCAGACCCTCCCTCCCAGACCCTCCCACCTCCTGGACCGCTCACTAAGAATGCAGCTTCACAATGAATGTAAAATGGATGCTGTCCAGGAGGTGGGAGGGTCTGGGAGGGAGGTGCTGCTGATTGGCTGGAATGTGTCTGCTGACCGTGAGGTACAGGGTCAAAGTTTATGTTTATGTTCGCCGTCCGCGGCCAACCGTTCGGGACATCACTAGTTGCCTGGTTTAGATCATACATTTCTCACCTACAAAACAGTCATCACTGCTTAAAGGACCACTCTAGGCACCCAGACCACTTCAGCTTAATGAAGTGGTCTGGGTGCCAGGTCCAGCTAGGGTTAACCCATTTTTTAATAAGCATAGCAGTTTCAGAGAAACTGCTATGTTTATTAATGGGTTAAGCCTTCCCCTATTCCCTCTAGTGGCTGTCTCATTGACAGCCACAAGAGGCGCTTGCGTGCATCTCACTGTGATTTTCACAGTGAGAGCACGCCAGCGTCCATAGGAAAGCATTGTAAATGCTTTCCTATGAGACCGGCTCAAGAATCGCGCCCAGCTTTTGCTGGCATTCAGCAGGCGAGCTGGAGGAGGAGGAGGTGACTCTCCGCCCAGCTGGAAAAAGGTACGTTTTTACCCCTTTCCCCCTTCCAGAGCCGGGCGGGAGGGGGTCCCTGAGGGTGGGGGCACCCTCAGGGCACTATAGTGCCAGGAAAACGAGTATGTTTTCCTGGCACCATAGTGGTCCTTTAATGTGATTACTGCTGCTTAAAGGGTTTCTCCAACACTTTTTGTATGGTATAGAAAAATGCCCCTTTGCTTTTGGTTTTATTCCATATGTCCCCCGGGAAAATAAATGCACATAGAATGTTAATCCAGCAGAGGATTTATGATTTGATAATTTAAAGGGCTCAGAGCACATGTGCCTGGGCTGAGCCCGCAAGGGGACGATGAAAGGGAGGGAATTAAGCAGGAGGAAGGGAGTGAATTGAGCAGGAGGGAGGGTGGATGGGGAATTTGAAAAAAATTGCGGATGCAAGGTGGGAGGGCGTACTTTAGTGTTGGGGGATGGAAGGAGGTATGGAACACATAAGCTCTGACATACATAAATTATGCACAGCTTGATAGACAACTGGGAACAGAGTTCTGGACTGACAATGTCACGTGTGCTGAGGGTGCAACTTGCCCCAGCACACAAATAAAAATTATTTTAGAATCCTGACTTCTACCACCATGACCACTTCAAAAAGCAGAAGTGGTCATGGTGGTTGGAGTAACCCTGGAATGCTTGTATTTTAAAGCACAACATTGATTCCCAGACTTTACATGTATTAATTCTGCCAGAAACAGAAGGCTAAAAGATGATGGATTCTTGTAACAAAGCCATGAGTAGTTTCAGAACCCAAATATAGGGATACATAATTATTAAACACATACTCAATGCTCAAATGTTGTTCTATTTAAAGGTTGTTCTATTTATTGTAGACATTATAAACATTGCATCTCATTGAGCTCTCAACTCCGGCGTTCTAAGAATCGGGACACCAGTGGGAGAGAAGTAAATTGTGTCACTAGCTCTGCTCCAAAGGGGTAGACCCTCTCACAAAGCAGTGTTAATTTTGTCTACTAACAATTTTAGTCAAATTTTAGTTGACTAAAATTTTTAGATTTAGTCAACAAAAACTAGACAAACTAAAACAACAATACGACAAACTAAAATGGCTTTCTAGTCCAAAGACTGTGACTAAAATTAAATAGAAATTTGCCGCCAAAATTAACACTGCCACAAAGGAGGCGGAACCACCCAAGTTAATGGCCTGTCCATCATTGAAGCCAGCCTGCTGAAGGCAGACACTGCAGGGGGCAATGTTTCAGTGCTCATGCAAGGATTTTTAGGGACAGTTCCCCAAAAGCGGGACACCAGGAAACATGCATGAGCATCCGAAAATTAGGACTGTCCTGCCGAAATCAGCATGGTTGGGAGGCTTGTTATATAGTGCCTGGAGTCAATGAAACCATTTTCAAGTAGTTTAACAATAAATATGGGTCCATGGCCTACTAGAACCCCCACTAGAAGTATGGCTAAGGCAGAATTTACATACTTCCTTCTATCAATACCAATTCATACCAACACTGGGTGCTATGATAAGCTGCAAGCAGCCAGCAGACATTCTCAGCCAATCACAGTCACCACTGCTGCTCAGATTAATGCTTTCTTATTTGCCCAAGCAGCACAAAGGGGGTGGGGATGCTAGGGACACTTGTTTAGCATTAAAATATTAAAATGGTTTGACAACAGGGACAACCCCAAGGGACTAAGGACACTAACGATGAAGTAGTTACAGTGCCCACATTGTCCCTTTAATTGATGTTTATTACTCTCAGAAACACACAAAATTACATGCACACACAAAGACACATCCAGATATGCAGTGGGAAAACATTGGCTGACAATGGTTTCATTACAATAAACCCATCTTCTAATGCAGCACAGTGATGTGAACTTGTGAGCTGTGTGCTTGGAATCCTGGGCTGCTTACCAGTGTATGTTAAATTCTGCTGGTAACGGGTAACATATAATAAATTGCCAATTTCTCGGGCGGGGGAGGTTTGAGCACATGAAAAGTAACCCATCATATGCATTTTTTTCTATTGGGGTTATGTGTAAAAAGCAGCTTGCAAGATATCTGCAGCCTTTGCAACCCCTCCCCTTCTAACCCCACCCAGACTTTCTGTGGCTGTCCAATCATGGACTTTACAATGCAGCTTAATGAGACGTCTTTGCAAGGCTTGTGTTTAGAGCAAATGCTTCCTTTTTGAGTTTAGCTCCACTGAGCTAACAAAACCAGGAAGTAACAGGACCTGTTGTTTGATTTACAGCCATGACAGTGTAAAAATGTTCATTTATAAACGTGCTAATTTCTATTCAAATCTGCACTTTTGTAGAGTGAAAAAAAAACAAAAACAAGCTCTTCACACAAAGTATTTCAAGCAAGCTAAAAAGTGTTTTAGGGATCGGTAATTAACATATTGCAGCATACCAATGCTAGATACTACTTGGAGTACTTTTAATGCCAAACCCCTCAACATGAAGCATTCTCTAATCAACTGAACATTGCTATTATAAATAAATATGGGGGCGTGGCCTGGCGGTCCGAGAAGATGGCAGCATAATCCTCGAGCTCCCCGCAGGCTCAGCTCGCAACCTCGACCAAACCGCACTCTGACCGCGGGGATGGGGAAGACCCACCGAGCCTCACATGCCCAATGACTAGGGGATGCCCCAAAGGGAACCCCGACCCAGACTATGAAGCGCTACCTGCTCACACAGGCGGACATGGATCCGCAGGCCTCAAATGACTCCATGGAGTCGGACATTTTCTCCCCGCACTCCCCAACGGGAGAACAGACCCCCACGACACGCACTGCAAGGGATGCCGCAGTACCGGACCTGATGGCCCTGCTGAAGGACTTACCCACAAAGGCAGACCTCAAGACGGCCAACGCAGAACTGCGCACGTCAATCACGACGGAACTCCAGCGAGTCGCACAGATCGAGGCGGACTGTGACCACATGGCAGTGGCACAGGCTGCCAATACAGACACGCTGCAGCACCACACTACAGTGATGAGGCAGATGGCCCTGCATATAGAGGACCTCAACAACAGGGGGAGACGCCAGAATATCCGGGTGAGAGGGGTCCCAGAGGAGCTAGACAGTAAAGCCCCGGTACAGAGCACCTTGCTGGAGCTGTTCAACAGGCTCCTAGCTAGGCCGCCCCAGACGCACATGGGCTTCGTTAGAGCCCACAGGGCCCTGAGACCACAAGGACCCCCGGGTGGGCCTCCCAGAGACATCATCTGCTGCATGGAGAGTTTCCAGCTTAAGGAGGAGATCCTCCATAAGGCACGTGCCACTGAAAAGGTACTGCTAGACGGATTGGAAATCCAGCTATACCCAGACCTGTCCCCAGCCACTCTGGCCTATTGGCGGGCCCTGAAGCCCCTCACCAGGCAGCTGCAGACCGCCAACATTAGGTACCGCTGGTGCTTCCCCACAGGCCTTCAAATAGCAACACCCTCTGGCCCCTTCATGGTCGCGGGAGCAGAAGATCTGGAGACGATCCAACGTGAGCTACACCTGTCGCCGGAGAAGCTTCTCTGGCCGAACCCGCTAAGATTCTACACAGAAGGCCCTAGGCCTCCAGGCACAGGCCCCAAACCCCACAGGCTGCGGGCCCCCCGCACACAGACAATACGACCGTCGGGGACACCGAATTAAATAAGCCGCTTGCCCTGCCGCCCCCTGGGACTATGAACTTGTATACCATGCCGTAAATGGGACGACTTGTTTTTCTTGACGCCTCGACCACTCGGAACCTTACTGCACCAACCACGAGACATGCAGCCGGGCTCTCACCTCCGGGCCCTGTGTTCGTGGGGAAACGGAGGGGCCGTGGACTTCCACTCCCGAGCCTGATGACAACTCACCTTTCTCCTCACCCATACCGCAAGTATTATCCCGGAGAATGGGGGGGCATGGGAATACCGCGCTTCCCCACTACCCGAGAACTATGGGCCGAGCAGGGGGGAGGGGGGAACCGGGTGACCCCATGCCGGATAAGGTGGCACTCCCTGCATAAGCTGGGCACAGTGGGAAGGGGATGGACACTCTCAAGCCCTGGACTTGTTCCTTTGTATATGTGACCTGGGAGCTGAGGGGCCCGAGACATACACCCAGCTCACCCTCGTAGACGCACCAAGATATGTAGCCTTCAGGCAGGCTATGCTGAGATACACTGGGATGGCATTAGGCTACTACCACCTTGCTACTTACAGGGATCAGGGGAGTCCATAGCGCTAGACCACGGGGAGGGGACGTATGGCCCATGTAGCTACACCACAGGCCCACCCCCCGGCGGATGCAGGGTGCATGCCGAGTTGCCGGTTCTCATAGTTCGGCGCAGCCCTTCCAGCTTCCCCGAAACCTTGACACGGAGGGCTATGTGAGGGCCCTAAGATAGGCCATCGTAGGGTCACCCAGACACACGTCCGCATGAATAGGGCGATTGCCACCCAACAGGGAGGGAATAGGTCCAGAATGGGGTAATGCATGCCACGGAACCCGACGGGATCATGGTGGGGCTCCCA